ATCTATTATTATTGAAAATATATTATAATAAATACATTAATTACGGTAAAATTATTAAATGTTTTACTTGCTATGCCTGTTTTATTTGAATAGTTAATTTAATGTTTGTAAATGCCTGATGTACTAGTTACCCTTCTGAATGTTTTAGGACATACTGCTGGCCAGTTTAGGAGAGCAGTCTGATGAAGCCTTCAAGATTAAGATAGTCATTCAATTTCTCACTGGTCTTTTATGGTACAGAATTGTCATGCTATAATTATGGAATTTCTTAAGAGTATGGATTAATGAGCCCCTACAAACACACACAAGAAAATGAGCATTATCCATTTATATGTACATAAAAAATAAATGTCAGTTAGTTTTATCTTTACATGTGTTTGCTTGGCAGATATGTTATCAAAGCAGCATACAAAGTGCTTATTTTAATACATGTTTCTGAATAAACATTTAATTTGTTCACAATTGTTCAAGCACTGAAGGTGCTGTAGCCCCTATCATTATCTTATTATTAAGGCAGAGGCAGATCTATGAAACATTCATAGGAAAATTATGAAATTTGGCACACTTGTAGTGGGTGTCCCATAAAGCAATTTGACCAACTTTGGGATCCCTACAACCAACTCGACACCAGTTCAAAAATGCACTTTTCAAATGGTTATAACTTTTGAACCATTTGTTCTAGAAAAATGAAGCTTGTCAGACGCATTGCAGTATATTTTGTGTAATTTGACATATTGCCACAAAAATTGGTAAGATCATCACCAGCATGTCCTGCTGCGCACAGCGCCACCTAGTGTTCCAGAGATATGTGTCCATACAGTTACTGATATGTACCTTTAAGAGGTTTTTTTTTGGCTCTGCATTGTACTTAAAGAGATAGTTCACCCAAAAATGAAAAACAAATTCAATGCCAAAAGAATGCTATACATATGCTATACAATGCCATTTCTACCAAGGTTAATAAGGACCGTTTTTACCTCCTTAACGCTTAATAAAGATGACATTAATCAGTTTCCCAGTTTGGAGAACAATTCAAAAAGATAATGCATCAAAACATGAGAAATACAGTAAAAGAGAATTAGCAAATATGTCAAAAATGTCCAAACTAGCAGAAAGTAAAATATGTCAAATACTGCAAACAGCAGCCAAAAATAAGAAAAAGAAAAAAAACAAAAAACAAATGTACATATGTATTTTACCCCTTGTTAAACAATAATAATACACTTACCTTCATGTTACACTTTAAATTTAAACAGAACTACGGTATTCCATAACACACTCTCTCCTAGTCCTACTTTCTTAATTATATATGTTTAAATGTATTAAAATAACATAACCAAACAAAAAAGTGCTTTTTAACCCACCAGTCCTTTTTAAAAAGCAGCCAAAATTTCGTCCACCTGCCCAATGCATTTATCTCCAACCCAATCAAAAGAATCCCATTTGGGCAAGAACCCACCCAATCTGGCAACACTGATTGCTGTTAGCAGCTATATTTCAGCTATAGTGTTATTCTCACATGCAATGACTGTTTCGTCAGATTATTATGTTATTTTCATTTATTGTAGTGTTTGCATGCATACTTAATCCTTCAAAATCCTTTAGGAAATACCTGGGGCCAAAGCACTGCCTGAAAAAGCCTTCAAGAGCAAACTGTATCAGGTATCATTTCTGTGTTATTTAGCTCAGTTACTTATGGTACATTATCAATATTGTTTAATAAGCCCCTACAAACACATACAAAAAGAATTACTGCTATATATTATCCATACATATATAAACAAAGTACATTTACCATGTGTATGGTGTAAATTATTTTCTGTTTTGTATTAATACGCATCTTCTTATTTGATGTTCACACATAAAATTGTAAGTAATATCAGATTAATATCACAATACACTGCATACATCCTTGAATACATATTATTAGTACAGTTTTATTAGAAATTTACATTTTTTGTAACATTATAAATGTCACTGTCACCCTTTATGTTATGCATCCTTGATAAATGAAAGTATTCATTTATTTCAAAAATGGAATGGTTTCCAAACTTTTGAATTGTAGTGAATATTCCACACTTGAATAACCTTTGTCTCCGTTATTTGACATTAAATTTCTTGTAATACTTTTCTAATTTTTTACCCTTCAAACTCTTTAGAAAATACTGAAGAAGAATTATAGCGAGTTTAAACCACAAATGGAGGAGGAGAACTTTGACATTCATGTATGTTTAAACAGTAAAAAATAATAATACAATAAAAATTACTGTTTTGTGACTCATTTTTACAGTTTAACTTTCTATCGTATCTGAAATCTGATCTCATTCAGGTTCTTGAGATGGGTTTTGGTGAAGTGGGTAAAGAGCCCATTGATAATGTTCGTTTCTACAGCAAGAATGAGCCAAACAGAGCCTTCAAGATGGAGAAGTACCAGGTACTAAAGCTCACTTATCTCAAATATCTGTCATCCAGGATTTTCATAAATATCATGGCTGTGAATCTCTTGAGCATTAGATTTGATCAGATAGTCTTTTTAACTGAGTCATTACTAAAATAAATGAATTAGTGATCTGTTTAATGAATAAAGTGATTTGAGCTCAGGCTTTATCAGATAGCTCTAGTTTGTGGTGTGTACCTGAATTCATACCTGGGTGAGTGAAGGCATTTTCTTTTCTTTTTCCTTGGTTTGAGAAAGGTTGTGTTTGGTTTCTGTTGTGTGCCTGCAGGTGTCCAATCTCAAGCCAAAGAAGTTTCATGAATTTCTTGTGAGGGTCTATTACGATCCACCGAATCAGGAGGATCCAAAGAATCAGGAGGATCCACCGAATCAGGAGGATCCACCGAATCAGGAGGATCCAAAGAATCAGGAGGATCCAAAGAATCAGGAGCATCAGAAGAAGGTCCAGCAGGAAGCTGAGAAGTTTCATGACTGGTGCAAACACAATGAACAGTTTATTGATTTCGAGCCTAATTCAGGTAACTCCAATTGTGCTGCCATATCTGCATATTTATTACTCTATCATGTGTGTTGTATACTTTTTTTTTTTTTTACTTTCTACTTTGTTATTTATTTAACTGATTTGCACTGCATGAATTAAGTACAAAATGAATAACTTCTTGATAGCTGGAAGAACCAATCAGCTTGTATGTAGAGTTTTATGAACAAACTACATATTTATATTTTAATAGGTATGTCCTAACCAGGCATAATCTGATACGGCATCAAGACATAAATCATTGTTAGTTTCCTCTGTTAGTTGTTGTTGAAACCAAGTCATCCAGTGCTTTTGTGTTTCATTTGGTATTTAGACATACAAAATATATAATGCAAATATAATGTCAGCATAAGCACTTTATAAATGGGGTAGGAGTGAACAAAATAAGTGGGTGAATTAGAACAATGATATTAATACTGTACATTTCTTAGTCCAGAGAAGAGAGATGGCCATGAGACACAACTGTATTGTTTCCACCTGTTATATGTGTGTTATCATGAATCCATTCAAGCTCTCAGGGCTCGATATCATAAAAAGAAGAAAAAGGGAAACATAGAGAGAAATAAGAGTAATGTAGCTTGTTGTGGGCTAATTCAAGACCTTGTTAGTCAGCTAGCTGTTGATGGTGAAGAGTGATGATTGCTACGACCAAACCTTCACTGAGGATTTTAAACCAAATATTTGTCCAGCAAACACAGAGTTCTGTTCACGTGGATATAAAGTTCAGGGTCTGACATCTGTCTAGTATGAAAATGATGAATAATCATATCATTACTTTAATCAAATGCATAGATTGTCATCTCGGCTAAATTAATTTACTTACTGCTATTTAATAAAGAGAATGTTGAAAAAGTAAACTAAACTAAATTGTAATATAGGTTTATATGTTGCCTTGGGCTAATGTAGGTGTTTCAGTGAGACATACTGAAGTTCATTTTATTGCAAATGTTGTGAACTTTCTTTTCATTTACTTTTCACGTCCTGTCTTGAGATTAGTACTATGTAAAGGGAGAGTTCATAATACCTGGCTGGACGAAGGTGAGGTGGAACCAAGTGCAAATTAAGTTTAATAATACAAAAGAATAAAACAAACTTGGGTACAATATAAAACACAGAGCTGGATCACGATAACAGTATGACAAGGACAGGGAGGAGCTAATGAATTACTATGGTATCTAATGAGGGAAGCTATGGCAGCACACAGTGGCACAAGGAACTGAACAAGAAAGAAAGTACAGAAATAATGGGAATACAATACAAAAACAAGAGACCTAAAACACAAGATAGACACAGGCAAATATTGTGACATCATACAACAATTTAAATTATGTTATTTATTTACACTCATGTCTTGCAAACCCATTAACGATAATTTATTATAGGCTTATTTTTAATATTCAAAACACAAATTAAAATTTTTAAGAGTCCAGGGAACCAAAACGTAAAAGACCTTTTTGGATCTTCAAAATGTTCTGGACCGTCCCTTTAAAAACACACTAAAGAAATCAATGGTGAAAATGTCATTGCTAAAGTCTACAAGACAAGAAAGTCTGGGTATGCAAACATGACTGATGATACTGCAGGAGAAGAACCATCAACAGAGGCAGGCACTGATTCTGAGATTATTATTTTCTCTTCTTCACTGCTTTGACATTCATTTTGTACAGTTCTGATATGTGTAACAATTCATTTTATATAATAATATAATATAATATAATAATATCATATTAAAAAATATTGTAAAAGGGATTCAATGAGATGTACCATAAGCCATGATATGTCACCTTAGGTAAACCTGTAGGTGGAAGCACACCAGACCAGCAGACAGCTTCATCCTCATCCTCAGCTTCATCCTCATCCTCAGCTTCATCCTCATCCTCAGCTTCATCCTCATCCTCAGCTTCATCCTCATCCTCAGCTTCATCCTCATCCTCAGCTTCATCCTCATCCTCATCCTCATCCTCAGCTTCATCCTCATCCTCAGCTTCATCCTCATCCTCATCCTCATCCTCAGCTTCATCCTCATCCTCAGCAGGGACAGCACAGGATTCAGCTCAGGCTACATCAGCAGCAGGTGTGTGTTTGTCATGTAAACACTGCTGCTGTCTTGCTCTGTACATTCATTATACTCACACACTGGAGACATGTGATATACATTATTTTAAATGGTAATATTTTAATGAGAGCTTACATTTTGTCAAGACTAAAGAGTAAAACTTTCTAACACAATTCTTTATTTCATATCTGCCTATGGATGTTAATACACCATCTTCATTAATTTCAGTTCTATCAAGTGTTCTATCCCACTGCTATCATATTTACTTTAAACCAAAATACATACATTTCTTTGATAGTGAGTGAGAGTGATGTAATTACAGAATTCACTTTTTTAGGCAAACTATTCCTTTAAGGCTGCTTAGAACTTTATATGACCTAGAACCCATTTGTCAGCTACATTGTTTGGATTTCTAGAAACAAGAATTGGCTAAATCAGGTGAAGGTGTTTGCATGACACGTACATAATCATGAAATTACCAATTCATATTAATATAGAAATGTCCAGTTGAGTTTGGATGATAAAACAAAATAAATATATTTCTCACACTTAGGATTTACAATGCTATGCTTTTTTCATAGAATCCAAAAATGAGGAATCCAAAGACAATCAAACCCCCTCAGGCAAGGTAAAAATTAAAGTGAAAAATAAATAAATAAATATGTTCTCCTCATTTGGATAGGTGAGAGGGTTAATGTGAATGAAACTGAACACATTAATTCCAGTATCAACTGCCAACTAAATTCCAGAAACCTTCTGATGTTGTCCAAAACCTCACTAGTGCATTTCCAAACATTTTTGAGGGCAGTTTATATGTTTGTGGATGTATGTGCCTGTTTTTTATCTTGCAGATCTTCAACGACCCCATTCATGGTCAAATTGAGCTGCACCCCCTGCTGGTGAAGATCATTGACACGCCACAGTTTCAGAGACTGAGAAATATTAAACAGCTGGGAGGAACATATCTGGTGTATCCTGGAGCCACTCACACTCGCTTCGAACACTCTCTTGGGTAAGCCTTGTTTTTATTTGTATTTTTATTATGCGCACACACACACACACACACACACACACACACACACACAGTGCTTTGAAAAATTATTTAAACCCTTGAAAATGGTCCTTTTGTCTGAATTATGAAATTATATACTTTACAGTAGGGTTTAATTTGTTAACATTAACTAACATTATTACACGGCTCTGTGGAATACTTGATTCTGATTAGTCAGTCAGTCGTGACAGTCCAAGGTACGTTATCCCTCAATAACAACCGGTAAAAGCTAATAACACAGGCTCATCCGGGTAACAGCAGTCGGCGCTGTACTCTTGCTTGAACTATTTTTTTCTTGGTGGAAGCTTTACGTTTGTTTAGCTAATAAAATATTAAAACTCGATTCAAAATGGTGTACAATTATTTAATTATGTCATCCTGGTATCGAGGACTCGCTCTCGTTTCATACAAACGCAGCCGCTGCCATTTTGCTAAGATTGTTTTGTACGCTGTAATGGATTATAAGATAACTAACAAACTGGTAAGGTTTTAAAACATTTTCATCTTAGTTATTTTATTGCCTTAATTATTTTTGTGGTGAAATGTTGTGTAATAAGTGGTTTGACTTAAAGCTGGGCTTACACTACAGGAGTTTTAAAATCCTAACCGATTGTGAAATCTGGTTGCAGCACACACATAAGGAGAATCTTTGCAGATTATCTTCTCTCAAATCTTAAGCATGCACACACTACAAGATTCGAACATCGTGGCGCATCACACACTTCAAGATATTATTAAGATTATCATGCCAGCCCTGCCACCCCGTACACGTTTAAAACTGAGGTGATTTCACTCCAGCGCTTCTCTTTCTCCTTACGGTTGTGATACGTTTTCGACACATTATACAGACAGTCGTGTTACTATAAAACGTCAAGAAGCAGTTTCCTCCGTCTCCACTATCCAACGGGACCGTACAGCAGCTGTTTTGCACTCGTGCATTGGCTATTGTGACCGTACTGACGTAATCATACAGCCGTCATCATCCCGATTTCAATCCTAAATATCAAACATGTTTGATATGATCGGGGCGGCCCTGATTTGTGTGCGAGCAGATCGGAAGGTGCAAGATTCGATCGGTGAACGCCTCACATTACCAGATAATCCACGCCGAACATCGGGAGCGATCGAGGGGCTCAATCAACTGATCAAATGATGTAAAAGCTGGATTTATCATGTGTTTTATTTAAAATGATGTCTTGTCTGTTTGTGTAAGTGCTGCATATTTAGCAGGACATCTGGCAGAAGTTCTGAAAGAGAAACAACTGAAGGAGTTTGAAAAGAAACGAGATGAGTTTGAAGAGAAAGGAGATGAGTTTGAAGAGAAAGGAGATGAGTTTGAAGAGAAAGGAGATGAGTTTGAAGAGAAAGGAGATGAGTTTGAAGAGAAAGGAGATGAGTTTGAAGAGAAAGGAGATGAGTTTGAAGAGAAAGGAGATGAGTTTGAAGAGAAAGGAGATGAGTTTGAAGAGAAAGGAGATGAGTTTGAAGAGAAAGGAGATGAGTTTGAAGAGAAAGGAGATGAGTTTGAAGAGAAAGGAGATGAGTTTGAAGAGAAAGGAGATGAGTTTGAAGAGAAAGGAGATGAGTTTGAAGAGAAAGGAGATGAGTTTGAAGAGAAAGGAGATGAGTTTGAAGAGAAAGGAGATGAGTTTGAAGAGAAAGGAGATGAGTTTGAAGAGAAAGGAGATGAGTTTGAAGAGAAAGGAGATGAGTTTGAAGAGAAAGGAGATGAGTTTGAAGAGAAAGGAGATGAGTTTGAAGAGAAAGGAGATGAGTTTGAAGAGAAAGGAGATGAGTTTGAAGAGAAAGGAGATGAGTTTGAAGAGAAAGGAGATGAGTTTGAAGAGAAAGGAGATGAGTTTGAAGAGAAAGGAGATGAGTTTGAAGAGAAAGGAGATGAGTTTGAAGAGAAAGGAGATGAGTTTGAAGAGAAAGGAGATGAGTTTGAAGAGAAAGGAGATGAGTTTGAAGAGAAAGGAGATGAGTTTGAAGAGAAAGGAGATGAGTTTGAAGAGAAAGGAGATGAGTTTGAAGAGAAAGGAGATGAGTTTGAAGAGAAAGGAGATGAGTTTGAAGAGAAAGGAGATGAGTTTGAAGAGAAAGGAGATGAGTTTGAAGAGAAAGGAGATGAGTTTGAAGAGAAAGGAGATGAGTTTGAAGAGAAAGGAGATGAGTTTGAAGAGAAAGGAGATGAGTTTGAAGAGAAAGGAGATGAGTTTGAAGAGAAAGGAGATGAGTTTGAAGAGAAAGGAGATGAGTTTGAAGAGAAAGGAGATGAGTTTGAAGAGAAAGGAGATGAGTTTGAAGAGAAAGGAGATGAGTTTGAAGAGAAAGGAGATGAGTTTGAAGAGAAAGGAGATGAGTTTGAAGAGAAAGGAGATGAGTTTGAAGAGAAAGGAGATGAGTTTGAAGAGAAAGGAGATGAGTTTGAAGAGAAAGGAGATGAGTTTGAAGAGAAAGGAGATGAGTTTGAAGAGAAAGGAGATGAGTTTGAAGAGAAAGGAGATGAGTTTGAAGAGAAAGGAGATGAGTTTGAAGAGAAAGGAGATGAGTTTGAAGAGAAAGGAGATGAGTTTGAAGAGAAAGGAGATGAGTTTGAAGAGAAAGGAGATGAGTTTGAAGAGAAAGGAGATGAGTTTGAAGAGAAAGGAGATGAGTTTGAAGAGAAAGGAGATGAGTTTGAAGAGAAAGGAGATGAGTTTGAAGAGAAAGGAGATGAGTTTGAAGAGAAAGGAGATGAGTTTGAAGAGAAAGGAGATGAGTTTGAAGAGAAAGGAGATGAGTTTGAAGAGAAAGGAGATGAGTTTGAAGAGAAAGGAGATGAGTTTGAAGAGAAAGGAGATGAGTTTGAAGAGAAAGGAGATGAGTTTGAAGAGAAAGGAGATGAGTTTGAAGAGAAAGGAGATGAGTTTGAAGAGAAAGGAGATGAGTTTGAAGAGAAAGGAGATGAGTTTGAAGAGAAAGGAGATGAGTTTGAAGAGAAAGGAGATGAGTTTGAAGAGAAAGGAGATGAGTTTGAAGAGAAAGGAGATGAGTTTGAAGAGAAAGGAGATGAGTTTGAAGAGAAAGGAGATGAGTTTGAAGAGAAAGGAGATGAGTTTGAAGAGAAAGGAGATGAGTTTGAAGAGAAAGGAGATGAGTTTGAAGAGAAAGGAGATGAGTTTGAAGAGAAAGGAGATGAGTTTGAAGAGAAAGGAGATGAGTTTGAAGAGAAAGGAGATGAGTTTGAAGAGAAAGGAGATGAGTTTGAAGAGAAAGGAGATGAGTTTGAAGAGAAAGGAGATGAGTTTGAAGAGAAAGGAGATGAGTTTGAAGAGAAAGGAGATGAGTTTGAAGAGAAAGGAGATGAGTTTGAAGAGAAAGGAGATGAGTTTGAAGAGAAAGGAGATGAGTTTGAAGAGAAAGGAGATGAGTTTGAAGAGAAAGGAGATGAGTTTGAAGAGAAAGGAGATGAGTTTGAAGAGAAAGGAGATGAGTTTGAAGAGAAAGGAGATGAGTTTGAAGAGAAAGGAGATGAGTTTGAAGAGAAAGGAGATGAGTTTGAAGAGAAAGGAGATGAGTTTGAAGAGAAAGGAGATGAGTTTGAAGAGAAAGGAGATGAGTTTGAAGAGAAAGGAGATGAGTTTGAAGAGAAAGGAGATGAGTTTGAAGAGAAAGGAGATGAGTTTGAAGAGAAAGGAGATGAGTTTGAAGAGAAAGGAGTTTACAGTAGGGTTTAATTTGTTAACATTAACTAACATTATTACACGGCTCTGTGGAATACTTGATTCTGATTAGTCAGTCAGTCGTGACAGTCCAAGGTACGTTATCCCTCAATAACAACCGGTAAAAGCTAATAACACAGGCTCATCCGGGTAACAGCAGTCGGCGCTGTACTCTTGCTTGAACTATTTTTTTCTTGGTGGAAGCTTTGCGTTTGTTTAGCTAATAAAATATTAAAACTCCATTCAAAATGGTGCAATTAAAATGGTGTACAATTATTTAATTATGTCATCCTGGTATCGAGGACTCGCTCTCGTTTCATACAAACGCAGCCGCTGCCATTTTGCTAAGATTGTTTTGTACGCTGTAATGGATTATAAGATAACTAACAAACTGGTAAGGTTTTAAAACATTTTCATCTTAGTTATTTTATTGCCTTAATTATTTTTGTGGTGAAATGTTGTGTAATAAGTGGTTTGACTTAAAGCTGGGCTTACACTACAGGAGTTTTAAAATCCTAACCGATTGTGAAATCTGGTTGCAGCACACACATAAGGAGAATCTTTGCAGATTATCTTCTCTCAAATCTTAAGCATGCACACACTACAAGATTCGAACATCGTGGCGCATCACACACTTCAAGATATTATTAAGATTATCATGCCAGCCCTGCCACCCCGTACACGTTTAAAACTGAGGTGATTTCACTCCAGCGCTTCTCTTTCTCCTTACGGTTGTGATACGTTTTCGACACATTATACAGACAGTCGTGTTACTATAAAACGTCAAGAAGCAGTTTCCTCCGTCTCCACTATCCAACGGGACCGTACAGCAGCTGTTTTGCACTCGTGCATTGGCTATTGTGACCGTACTGACGTAATCATACAGCCGTCATCATCCCGATTTCAATCCTAAATATCAAACATGTTTGATATGATCGGGGCGGCCCTGATTTGTGTGCGAGCAGATCGGAAGGTGCAAGATTCGATCGGTGAACGCCTCACATTACCAGATAATCCACGCCGAACATCGGGAGCGATCGAGGGGCTCAATCAACTGATCAAATGATGTAAAAGCTGGATTTATCATGTGTTTTATTTAAAATGATGTCTTGTCTGTTTGTGTAAGTGCTGCATATTTAGCAGGACATCTGGCAGAAGTTCTGAAAGAGAAACAACTGAAGGAGTTTGAAAAGAAACGAGATGAGTTTGAAGAGAAAGGAGATGAGTTTAAAGAGAAAGTAGATGAGATTGAAAAGAAATGAGATGAGTTTGAAAAGAAACGAGATGAGTTTGAAGAGAAACGAGATGAGTTTGAAGAGAAAGGAGATGAGTTTAAAGAGAAAGTAGATGAGATTGAAAAGAAATGAGATGAGTTTGAAAAGAAACGAGATGAGTTTGAAGAGAAACGAGATGAGTTTGAAGAGAAAGGAGATGAGTTTAAAGAGAAAGTAGATGAGATTGAAAAGAAATGAGATGAGTTTGAAAAGAAACGAGATGAGTTTGAAGAGAAACGAGATGAGTTTGAAGAGAAAGGAGATGAGTTTAAAGAGAAAGTAGATGAGATTGAAAAGAAATGAGATGAGTTTGAAAAGAAACGAGATGAGTTTGAAGAGAAACGAGATGAGTTTGAAGAGAAAGGAGATGAGTTTAAAGAGAAAGTAGATGAGATTGAAAAGAAATGAGATGAGTTTGAAAAGAAACGAGATGAGTTTGAAGAGAAACGAGATGAGTTTGAAAATAAAAAGGAGTTTGAAAAGGAAAAGGAGGAGTTTAAAAAGGAAAAGGAGGAGTTTAAAAAGGAAAAGGAGGAGTTTAAAAAGACACTCGAGGATTTTGAAAAGAAACAGAGCAAGTTAATTGACGAGAAAGACATCCTGTGCGTCCAAATCGCCGCTCTGTGCTATAATTTAGGTGAGTGCCAGAAACAAGCACACTTGAGCAGAAATACAAAGTCTATCTATATCTATACACATGTGATTTCTCTTTTTGTTGAACATCTTTCAAAAGAGCGGAACCATGTAAAGGGAATTAAATACAAAAATAAATAATATAGATTAATATAAATGGATTCTTTATGTATATTTATTTGCAGAATTGGAATTTATTTAAAGAGTTTGAGAATTTCAATTGAAATGTTAAAAGTTTGTTCGATGTAAAGGTAAAATTGCAATACTGTTTGCTAAAAAATGTTTGTGTTATTTTAAAATGAGGTAAGGCAAACTATTTATACTGTATCTTTGCACTTGAGTGATTTTATATCTGTAGGAGTAAGAGGGTTGAAGCTCTTTTATTCTTTTAACTGACAGTTTCTTCACACCTTTATTATAGCAAGTCACGTGATGCATGTCAAATGAAAAGAGTATAAAATTGTTCTCATGTAAAATATGAAACATGCAGTATATTTTACTGTTATGTTTTTCGTTAAGGCCATGGTCCGTTCTCGTACGTGTTTAAGGACAACCCTGAAGACCTAGAGTCTGGTAAGTGCCTGAGTTTGTGTCTGGGAAAAGTTGGGGTTTCAGTTAAGTGTAAGCTTTAATAATGCCATTTATTATTATTTTTCAAAATTATTTTTGTTTCTAAATATCATAAATAACGCATTTCTATTATTAGACTCTACAGCTGATGAATAGATACATTTATTTCAGTAATGTGTATAACTGTGACTTCAGTTTCAGTTCTTTTAAGATCATTTATGAAATATGTATATAATAACCTTTGTTTGTTTGTCTTCTTAGGCAATCAGTGGAAGGTAAGCAGAAAAAAAAATCATTCTATACTGTGCATGCAATGCAAACTGTATTTTAAATTTAGCATATATATTTCACAATTCATAATGCTGTTTTCTAGGGAAAAGTGCTTTATTTACAAATACAAACAAATGCTACCTGATTAAACCTAATGTGAAGGTAACCTGCTAAGAGTAAACAAAATGAAATATTGTACTGTTGAAAGAAGCAAGTCTTGGCAAAAACCAATCACAATAAATGTGTACAGTGACACACAAAAGTCTATTGAGTGACTTCATGGCTTTTTGATACAGCACTCACATTAAAGCAATAAAATTATCATTCTGTAATCATTTTCTCACGCTTATGTCCTCCCAGACCGGTATGACGTATTCATATTCACTAGAACACAAAAGCCGATCTCCAAAAGGACACAAAAACACAATTATAGTTTTATAAACATTGCTCAGAAAAAGGTTTTGAAAGACAGGCTTGTTTTTTGTGTTTATCCACAAGAATAGAAAACCAGGAGACCAATAAATTATAGATCACTTAATTCAGTTTTAGATACAGTTGACAAGAAACAAGACACTTTTTGAATATAATAATTTACTGTAGATGCCCAGCTTAACATACAATTATATGTTAACTGTATACAGTTTACATTGTTTATTTCTAAAAGATATGAAAATGTGGCAATTCATATATATTTGTGTTTGTGTGTTTTATTCTCATAGATTGCGGAGGCCTCGGTGTGGCTGTTTCTGGACATAGTAGAGAACAATAGTGAACTGAAAAATGAGCTGAAGGAAAAAGATCTCACCTTTATTCAGGAGTTGATAAAGGGAGTTGATACTTCAGCTAAAGAGGTACAAAATCCTGTGAACTGTCCTTCCGATGCCCAACATGTTATACAGTGTTTCTGTTGAGTATTGAAGTTATTTTGATTCTTCCAGTGGCCAGCGAAGGGCAGGACTGAGGACAAGTCTTTCCTGTATGAGATTGTGGCAAATCAATGGAATGGCATTGATGTGCGCAAATGGGACTATTTTGCACGGTAAAAATATAACCTTTTAAAGGAATGCTCATTGTAATAATGGTTGTAAATCTTAACAAGAAGTATTACATTGTAAAATACTTAAATAGACATTACTTTAGATATCATGATGTTTTTATGGCTGAATAGAGCATTTCTACAACTGATGAAATCTATCGCTTCTGTGTGAGGCAGCACACTGTCAGAGGTTTCTGTATAAAGTCAGAGGTTTCTGTCATGGCAGTCAGCACAATATTAACCAAAATCATACTCAATATACTGTATCTTTGTGTCCTCTCTGTCAGAGACTGTTATCACCTCGGCATCCCAAACAGCTTTGACCATCAGCGTCTGCTGAAGTCTGCTCGGGTGTGTGAGGTGGCCGGGAGAAATCACATCTGCTTCAGAGACAAGGTGCCTGATGCACAAGATCACTTATTATTTATTACTTCTCATAAGATAATTGTATTTCCCACACCACAGAAAGTTGTCATTATTGACACTGTGCAGTGTCATAAAACATATCACCTGTACAGTTTATATCAGTAACTATAAGATGAAAATGAAATCAAAGATGTATATACATTTTAATAAATGATTTAAGATTACTGATTATTACTGAATTCAACCAACCTAAAATACAAGTTTTACTGAAGCATAACTGTCAGTAGATATAACCTGATTTCTCAGCTAGGTAAAATACTTAAGTTTGATATAATTTTTTTTTTGTTTTATATGATGAACGCCCTTTTCCATATTGATGTATATATACTCAAAAAATAATTTATTACCCTTACTTAATTTAACTGAACACATTTTTACACACAACTTATTTTCCAAATAAATCAGTTTAGTTGGATCAATAGTGTCACTCATTATTGTGCACGATGTATAATTGTCCAACATAACTGAACATTGAACATTAACATAAACTATCAACATCTTTCCCTTTACTGAAAACACATAAACTAACACTTAATCCCTACATTTATTTACTCTCCTAATGCAGTCCTGTGCAAAGCTAAATTTAACTGTTTATGGCTCTACTTCCATCTGATATGAAGATGCATTGTTGGTGATCCGATCGCTAGTGGTCAGCGCTTTGTTGTTAGAGCACTGAAACCACATACAGTAGTCAGTCTGTGCTCTAATTTATAACTCTGTGTCTCTCGCAGGTGGCTGACAATATTTGTGACATGTTTCACACCAGATACACTCTGTACAGCCAGGCCTACCAGCACAAGATCGTCAACATCATCGAAAAGAAGTATGTTTACATTGATTGTACTCCAGTTTTAAAGTCTTTGTGTGCTCTTCTAGTTCAGTGTTGCTTAAGTTGTTTATTGGTTCATACGTTTTTGATTTGTTCATTAGGATCTCAGAAGCCTTCATAGCAGCAAAAGACAAGATCCCAAGCCTCTCACTAATTGCTGAATCCAAATTACAAGAAGATATCGAGAGGAAGCGCTCAAATATTCTAAACAAGGGTACAGGTGCTGAGAACCCAACAACAACAACAACAGCAATGAAAGAGTTCATCAAACTGAGCGGTTAGTTAAAAACATGTGCAGGATTGTAAATAATTAAATACAAGTGTTATTCTTTCTGCTTAGCAGTTTTCATTTGACCAGAGAAGACTTTTATTTGTATTTATACATTTCTATTGCAAATGTTCTCCTTCTATCAGATCACATCTTTGAGGAGATCTTATACTCCACTGATGACGAGCTGAAAGATGCCCGGATGAAGCTTGAGGATGTTGTGAGGAGACGCCTGCCGAAGTGTGTGGGAGAGACCAGAATAACACAAACTGAATACAACGAAAAGAGCGTACAGGTAAAAGAGGACATTTTACAATGAATGTACTTATTTTGGACATATTACAAATCACTGGCATTTATGCAATATTAATGTATATGTAATGTAATATACTGTATATATAATTACACGACACACTCTTAACATTCTAAACTAAACTATACCGTTTTTTTTTCAATGGGCAAATACAATTTGTTCCATTATTACTCTATTAAAATTACTTAAATGACTTTCAGTTTACCAATAATACACTGTTCTGGTTGTCACAGAAGAATGTGTCAGGTTCGAGTTGCAGCAGTTTTATTAGAAGACAACAGATAATCCAGAATTATAAACATTAAAAAAAGTACAATTTAAGCAAAATAATGATTAGAACAGACCATGAACAACAGAAATTGAGGGCTATACAAAGAAACAAACAAGGAAACCAATTAAGTGAAGCTGTTGCTGCTGTTTGTGGAGTTGTCTTGTATTTCAGTATTTCATCTCAGGCTGTGGCTGAAGTCAGTTGTAGTTCTTGTGTTTCTCTTTTCTTCAGTGATGCTGCTTGTTAACAGCAGCTGTTCATCACTAATGCTCAATCAGCACTTAATTACCTCATTAACTTTAACACTGCTTCAGTGTTACTTTAACACTCTTGTAGAGTGGGACCATATGCAGGGGTGCATTTCCCAAAAGCATCGTTAGCTAACTATGGTCGCAAGTTCCTTTGAACTCTATTGGTAACGACTGAACTTGCAACCATAGTTGCTTTTGGGAAACGCACCCGAGTATGTTTCTGATCATTGTCTTGAAATAGGATGAACCACCAGCCAAACAGTTTTCAGACATTTGCTTGGACTTTAGTAGTTGAGATGTTTCTGTTCACTTCCAAACTCATACATTATGAGGAAGAATAGATCAATCATTATAAAATACACGGTACAGTAAAATTACAATTTAGATTAACATCATCTTTGACTTTTTTTTGTTGCCCTGTTTTCTCTATTTATCAGATACAGAAATGCCTTATTATTGTGAGTAATTCAATATTGTGAACAGTTATAGTGAATAGGTCAAGATGCTGTTATAAATTAATTTAGCACTTAATTTTAGATTACAATTTTGTTTAAACAAATCTGAAATTGAAGTTGTATAGAGAGACACATACAAGTTAAAATTTACATTAATTGGAAATGTGCAGTTTATAAAAAAATATAAGAAATTCTTAAAATATAATGGCTAAACAAACCAGTTCATTTTCAGTTTCATTTATTGTTGAGCAGCTCATAACACACATGCTCTTGTGGGCAAATTGTTCTCATTTGTTTGACTTCAATCCCTATTTCTACAGGATAAGTGGAATGAAGCAGTGGACGAGAGGAACAAACTTCTCCCGACTGTGTTCTTGGATAAGAATGATTTCAACATTGATGTATGTTATGTTCAAATCTCCGTTTCCATTTAGATTTTGATGTTATTGTCTCAACAATTGTAAGTCACTATAATATTGTAAATCTTTGACACAGACTATTCAACTGGACTACAGTCCCAGTAAGACTGAAACCCCCATCTACAATGTCTATTTCTACAGTAAGAGAAACCCCACCGATGTCATCGATATTAAGAACTATGAGGTACTTGTAGCACTTTGCTGCTTTAGTATTTAAAAAAAAAAAGTCAACAAATCGTCCATTTACTGGTATGTTATCTTGTTACTGGGACAAAATGGTATTCAGTGATCTGGGCAAGTCAAAGCAAGTTTCCTAGATCTATAATTAGTGATCAGCATGTTTGTTTTTTACGTGTATTGCAGATATCCAGTCTGCTGCCAGAGAAGTACACTGAATATGTTGGTCGGGTTTACTACACAAAAAAATCTGACGAGGAGGAGAGGGACGCTAAGGAGTGCTTCAGATGGTGGCGTCTCCGTGAGGACAGGGTGAGTGTTTATGGCTTATTTGTCATTCCTGCAGAACTGACACACATCACACTCTACAGTGACATTGTTCATAAACCAAGTGTTCATAAACCAAGGCTCTATTTGCTTGTCTCATATAAATCAATGTTCTCTGTCCTTCTAGAAGTGTATGATTCTGGTCTTCGATCAGAAAGAGTTTAGAGGAAATTGGCGCTTGATCACGGGTGACTGTCCATCATTTGACCGCTGCAGTATAACAGAGATCCGCTCCTGTATGGTGCTCAGTGGTAAGTGGGATCTCTATGAGGGTCCTGGCTACACTGAACCCCGTTACCAACTGCAGAGGGGGGTTTATCGAAACCCTGAGGCTTGGCGTGCCAGTGGCAACACTGCTCCTGCTCTGTCTGTTAAACGTAGGACAGAGTAAATTCTATAACTCCATCCATCTGTTGCCCTCATTCATCTTTAAAATAGGGCTGTCAATTTAAAGCATTCATTTAATGTTTCATTATAATTTCTAGACAAAAATAGTCTAATCAGTGATTTACACTGCTGTCATAATCATGTAATATCTTTTACGTTTTTTATTTTAAGTAGTTTTCTCTGCAAATGTTAATATCTGCACTGAATTGGGAATTACGATTAATTACTTGGCATATCATGCAATTAATTTGATTTAACTGATGCTTTTATCCAAAGCGACTAGAAAATGAGGAACATCTGGATTAAATGATTACACCTGATTGACAGCTATTGAAGCCACACGTGACCATATGAGATTATTTTGTGAATAAATCGTGTGGCAGATGCTGCTGACAAAGAGCAGTGCAATGAAAAATCAGTGACGAGAAAGTAAAATAATATAAGTAAATCAATCTAAAGAAACAGAGCTTCTAAACTAAGTGGGGGGAGATTTTACCTTGATTTTAGTTCTTCACAAATGCAGTAGACAGATATTTTAGCCTAATAGCTGCTTTATGCTCTTGTTTGAGCAGCTATCTATATGCTTGTTGTTATTATTATTCACAATGTGGTGCTGATGTTGGATAAATATGCACTAGTTAACAGTAGATGATGGTGAAGGGTTATGTAATGCAACGACAGGTTTGTTTGGTGATGGATAAATATAGACAACTGATGGATCATTAATTTTTTGTAATTTCTTCAGATGTGTGTGTAGAGCAGAGATCTGGTTACAGTTCTTATGAGAGATTTTGGGGAGTTAGTCATGTTTAGAGATTGCATTTGACATGGAATGAGTTGTCCTCCATCTAGTTTCTTACCTTTTAGGATGCAGGAGTTCAATTACATATTTCTGGGGAAACATGAGTTATTCAGGGGAAAAAAATGAATGCTTTTCAGTTTGTTATTCTCAGAAACTGACAAAAAATAAACTGTATTGCATCAACAACAATGGTGGAGTGATTATTTTTTTCTTGTCTAATAAATGTTTGCTTTATTTAGAGTATTAGTTCCTCTGCTTTATAGACGTGTCTTGTTGTGATTAATGAATCGCTAATTGATCTGTTTCAATTAGACAGAATAATTAATTTATTACACACCTGAAAGTGTCTTGAAACAGGGTATCATGATAAACATCAACAGTTTTCATCTGGTCATGTGACCTCAATATATTTAGACCCAGATTTGTGTAAGTTTGAGAGTGGGTTTAATTGGTTCAGATGATTGTAGGTTCATCCTCCTATGAGCTGGACCTGAAGTGTTTTACTGTAGAGCTCTTGTTTTTCAGAGGTTAGATTACATACATCAGGACTGATTGTGGTCTGAAATTAACTAAATGTTTATTGTGCTAATGACGGTAAGAACGCAACAGACACAGTGTGTTCAGAGTCTTCTAATTTAAATGACAATACATATATATATATATAATACTGAAAATGAAACAAAATACTTGAAAAAATACTAATCATGTCTTGAGTCATGTACACATCCTCTGTGGTGACTGAAGATAAAGGAAGTGAATATAGTGACTCATAATGACACACAGCCTATTACGACATGGACTTTTCTAAGAAGTAGGAGTTACAGACCACAGGAAACTTCTTTTCTAGTTTAGTTTTAGAGAAGCTGCCTAAATATCCTTTCACATGTGTACAAAAAAAGGGAAAAAAAGGATTAAGATGAACGGATTCTTTTTGGCTTCATTATTACAAACTTTAGCCTGTTACCTGCATTTTGTAAAGCTTGTTTTGTGATGCATTATTTTGCTTAATTTACTCTTTATCAGTTTTATATTTATTTGTTTTGGACTAATAATGGAACTTAAAAACCTTTCCTGTGTGATCATGTAAGGTAAGTTAGAGTTAACCAGTTTCGTTTCTGAAGAAAAAGGCCACACAGGTGTTGTAGTTTTCAGAGGGAAAGCCTTTAAAAACCATCAGAGGAATGATCTCAGTCTTCACAAGAACATCACACTTTCTTGACAACATAAATCTCACAAAATAGAAATCGCAGTGAATAGGCAATTCTTTACATTCAACATCAAACTCCTGGCAGACAAGAATTAAAGTAATATAGCGAGAATCAAAATGTGTAATATAGTGAGAGACAATATCGTAATGTTTTGATTTGAATGCACCCAGCTGTCATCATTTTACAGAATTGTGGCAATTTGATAAAATGTGAATATAAAAATCGCTAAAGTTAATTCAACAGCAGTTTGGAACAGAGTAGTTTCAGATGACAGTAAATACAAAGTACTATTTTGTTCATGCTCTTGATTTTTTAAACTACTGTAGGTACACAAATGGCCAAAATGCTTACAGTTTGCAGATTATTTAGACATTAAATATATTTACGGAATGCACCTTAACATTTTGCATCAAGCAGAAGTGTGAGGGTCAAGAGCCAGTTCTCCGGATCTACGGGACCAAACTGTTCAAGCAGGAGATTGAGTATGTTGTTCTCGTTCACAGCACTCAGTTTAATACGCTGTTCAGTCAATTTTACTACAACAGCTCCTGCATTTGTTCTCCGTGACCAGAAAAACCACGCTTCAACTGATGCCTTCGATGCCTTCAATATTTAATGTCTTCCTCTCAAGAGTCAGGACAGGTAACATCACAAACATCAAATGGACACTGTGAAAAAAACTGAAAAAAATTAAAAATTACAATCAAATTCGTGATGAGGTGATTTTGCCATGACGCCGTTCGATTAAGCACATAGCTTATTAAACATATCAATACACACAGTACCTTAAATTATAAACACACGATAACCAAAATATAGGCAAACATACCCTGTGCTTTCCTATCAGGATCGACTTCATGTGGCACCGCAAAGATCGGCTGCCGCCTGTCAAAAGCAATGCATTCTGGTTAGAACATTTGTCCAACTTTGATCGGGGCTGTAGCCGCCTCACGATCACATGTGCCATCAAAGTACCACGAGAGCCGCCTCGGTCAGGTGCTGTAGTTGCTCAAAATCGGCTGCGAGAGCTTTGATGACGACACACAATTCTCATTGGTCAGATTCTGTGATGACAAGAATGAGGTGTGTTGCATGTTTATTCTAACAATTAAATTCCAATAATGCTCACAAATATGTGTTTTTATGACAGTAAAATCATTTTTAGTGTAGTCGCACTAGTTATATTGAATCACATTTATCAATAAAACACTGATAAAAGCATATACCCCCACTTTATTGGTATTTAAATAGTATATGATTATGTTATGTTCATGAACAGATGGCGCTGTATTAAGCAGTATATATAAAGAGCTTCTGTTGCTCATGAAAACGTTTCTGAAATGTCTGTGTATTTGAGAAATATTGCATTTAATTCACTTCATCTGTGATAGAGTATACAAATATAGCACGAGCGTCATTACAGGGAGCAGAAAGTGTCCGACTTGATATCTCCGCTTTTAATTCCGCCCGACTGCAAGCGGCTACACTCGCCAGCCGGTGCGGCAGGCTAGTATAGTACATCTCGAACAAGTCTTTTATGAGACAACATCATAAGAGCGATCTTTATTCATTCATTATGGCGAGCACTAGCAAGGCGTTTAGAGGATGTGTGCATCCGTATCATCGTTATTTGACACCTGATGACACACGCGATCTCTGCGTTTTTTGTTTGGGGGCGAGGAGCACGCACGCGATGTCCTCGAGAGGGCAAGATGCTTTGGAAGCTCTTAATTCCATGCTATGGTAAGTGCACACGCTAAGCTTTCCACTTTTCTGAAATCCTGTATGATAAGGGTTACGCGTTATTAGTCTCGTTCCCTTTCTCTGAGTTGGTTTAGACCCCGGTACCTTG